GAATTTTCAGAAGTATAAACCCCTCCCAAAATATATTCCTGGGTGCGCCTCTGCATATACGTAAATATATTTGATGTTATTTTTAATTTTTTATATTTTTTAGCTCAATATTTTTTTCGATACAACTGTTTACTTCGATTGAAGAAATTGTAATGTGAAAAAAAAGTTTGGAAGAAAAATTGCTCGATAGTCACATCCCTTCCAGCACTGCGTTTCTGTAACTCTTCTCTACCGATTATTTCTCTACTGGTAGAGAATAAACGTCGTTCTCTACTACTCATTAGCAGTAAAGAACAAGGCGGCGAATTCATATCTCAATTCGCCTTGGTAGAGAATTGTTACAGAAACGAGCTACAGAACAGACCAAGGCGAATTAATATAAGGTGATAGCACGAGTACAAAAACAAAAATTNGTTCTCTACTACTCATTAGCAGTAAAGAACAAGGCGGCGAATTCATATCTCAATTCGCCTTGGTAGAGAATTGTTACAGAAACGAGCTACAGAACAGACCAAGGCGAATTAATATAAGGTGATAGCACGAGTACAAAAACAAAAATTTACATGTATTTTGTTTTTTCTTTGGCGACATAAACTGTCAAAATCTGTAAGAGAGTGTGTAGAAATTCAAACAAAATTTTTCAATTTGATATCAGAAGCCGTGCGACGAAACACATACACAAAATCAGCTGAGCTAGTAACACCTTATATTAATTCGCCTTGGAACAGACTGTGTAAATACTCCATATTTTACAGGTAGCTTTACCTGGTGTATTGGGTAAAGTTTCTATGAATTTCTGAACAGCAATGTGAAAATTTTACCGTACTCTACTGTTAATTTTTGCGTACGTGTGAGTTTTTTAACAATTCCAATGTTTGTTTATAGGAAATTCTCGAAGTAATTTGTGATTGTGTTTCAGATTTGAAAACTAAAATGTCCCTACCAGAATAATTTACTCTATACTCCAATACAATTACATTTTCGTTTTCAAATCTCAAACACAATTACAAATTACTTCGAAAATCCAGCCGCCCTGGTGGCGCCATCTCTTATGAAATCGCCAAGTTTTATCCTGTATGAGTAAGAACCTTAAAAAATCGACCAACTTCTACTATTTTTTTTTTTATGTAAAATATACCACTATTGATTTTTTTTAACTCCGTGCACTGCGCTAGACTACATACATACATATCGTCGTTTAAAGTACAAAACCGCGTATAGTCATTCTGCAAAATCGCGTAACTTACATTGGCTGCCAAAAATTGGATTAGCTCACACAAGCTCTTGGCTCAATCCTTATCCATTCGTCCTGAAATTTACTAGCCAGAAATGCGATTGCTTTATAAAAAAAAGAGAACCATTTTGAAATATGAGTGTTTTTACGCTCTAGAAAATAATTTATACAAATTCACATACGCGGTTGTGCATTTTGCTGATACGCGGTTTTGCATTTTGTTGATACGCGGTTTTGCACTTTAAACGACGATATATGTACATATGTACGTACCTAAACCTGCAGCAATAGTGAAGAACAAGACTTACAGCTTATGAGCTTACCTTTTAGAAAGAAATTAGAATTTACCTCAAACTCTTTAGCTAAAAACTCCGCTGTTTTGGTATTTAATTTTGGTTGTGGTAAGCCCATTAATGCATTTCCTAGAAATTTATAAACAGATCTGCAAGTAAAGAATATGCTTATAGTCCTTTTCAAAAACAAACTATAAGTATTACAAACCTTAGGTCTATACCTTCCAATTGGTTTGCTGGGGGAATATCCTCATTATTTGCAATGCCATTCATAACTAGAGCAGGTTCATACAAGCATGACTGGGGTAAATTCCATTTTTTGAATTGCTCTAACCAGGCTTCAATGTTCTTAAAACTTGGCGACTCACACTCTTCATGAACATTCATTACAGCCATTTGCATTCGTTGATTTAAATATTCTATAAGGAAAACGTTGATTAAAATGTTTGGCTTAGAATTGCATCACACTATTTTACCGAGTATTACGTCCCTATTAAATTTCGAAGCTGCTATCACATCATTTACACTACTTGAGCTGCAACTATTTTTTTCCAAATGGTTAAGAATCTTCTTTTTCATGTACCCATATACTTGCTGTTTATCTGCGGACGCACGTTTCTTTGCTGATTTCTGTTCCTGCGACTGGGGTGCGAATAAACTACAATAGTTTAATGAATTAGACAACTTTGATAGAACTAAATTGTAGTGAGATATAGCAACACGAACCCATCGTTTTGATTTGCAGTTTGTACTTCTTCCATGGATTGCCCTAACACTGATTTGAGTGCATCAGCTAATTCTAGAGGTCTAGCCACTTGCTCAAGTCGGGAATTTCTGTAAACAAAAAACCTTATAATTATCTACCAACTAAATACACTGACAATTTCGGTAATGTTCATTACACGACTTGCTCCTCAGGTTTGCCTAAATTCTGCATTTTTCACCTATTTTCTTTAGTTTCCAACCCTCTATAAGGTGTAAGCAAAATAAAGTTGTTGATTAAACAGCTGTATTTAGAATGAACTCTACGCTATAGCCAGCTGTTTAAGCGCAAATGAACCGAAATTAACACAGATGCTGCCATATTATGCGTTATTTGGAGTTTATAAGCAAATGCCAAAGATCGTACTAGCTCTTACGATATATAATTAGAGTAAATCATAGAGCGTAAATCTTAGATTAATTTATTTTATACTAGTGGTAATCATCTAAACCGATAGCTTTATCAAGCAGATATTCTTATAAACTTAAGCACTCTGTTACATGAACGCCCCATACACTCCTTTCGTTTACACTTGCGACGATAGTCATATTTTCTTTGGTTATCGTGGTCAGTATCAATAATTCTATACTACTAGCACGAGGATTCAACAATTTCAGCAATGACCTCACTAAATGGGAAAAAATTACTTTAATTTGAATAAATATTTAACATAAAGGCGATTTATTTGAAGCAAGTTTAAAGAAACAATGGCAGAATGTCTGTTTGTGTATGAATTCATTTGTCAATTTGAAATTTAATTATTATTTTTTAACTCATATATTTTATTGCGACCTGTTTTTTTTCAACATTAAGCAATATTTTAAACTTAAATACTAAATAAGAAAATAATCATGTATAGATTGCACCCAGTGGTGTAACCATATTCTATTCGCACGTAAACAACGTTATTAGAGATCTTATATTAGGTGTTTATAGTAAATTTTCCAGTAAATTGCAGCGAGAGCGTAAAATAAAAATAGAGCGTAAAGTTAAGAAGAGAAAACTATCAGAAAAAGTTAATGAACACAAAACTAGTAAAAACTTGCAAGTGAGCAATTGTTGAACTGCTTTGACACATTAGGTTTGTATAGTAACAAATAGTCAGTACTAATTTGTACTGGAACCTGCAAATTTTTACTGGGAAAGTGTATGATAACCTAAAAAATTTGCAAAAGAGCACTGAATCGAGAGCGTAACAATACGGGAGAGCTGCAAATTCTTGCTAGTGAAATTTTTACTAACAGAAATTAGCTAGCAGAAGAAGAAGAGGAATAAATCTGCTAGAGATTAAAAAGACTGCCACTCCGGTTGATGTGATGACTGCTACTCGCACGTTTATTTCAATAAAATAGAAAGAAACTATATTCTTAGTTCGGCTTTTATACAAAATTCCTTGATGGTAGAATACCGTATTTCGTGAAAATAGAAAATAAGAAGATGTCAGATTACTCGACTATCGATTGTTTAGGGCTGCCAACTAAAGCATGTACAAATATTATGGTCAGTTTACACCAGGTATATGTATAAAACTTAAATAGTACGCTTAACTAGCGCGATCCACAACAAAATGTCAAAAGCCGCCATTTGTTGAATTGGTTTAGCACAAACAAAAGTAAAAGGAGTGGAAATCAAAATATTGTGACTGTGTAAGTGCTTGTGTGTAAAGCGCAGAGTTTAAGACTGATTTATAAATAGTAAAATGTTTACAGCAGAATGTCAAAACAGTGCAACGACTGTTCACTTGCAAGTTTTTGCTAGTTTTGTGTTCATTAACTTTTTCTGCTAGTTTTCTCTTCTCAATTTACCGCTCTATTTTGCTTTTACGCTCTCGCTGCAATGTTTTACTGGAGAAGTTACTATACAAACCTATTTTTAGAATTTATAAATCAGTTTTAAAGTCTTTGCTACACACACAAGCACTTACACTGTCCAGTAATCATTGGAATTTTGATTTCCATTCATTTTACTTTTTTACGCTTAACCAATTCAATAAATGGCGCTTTTGACATTTACTCTTGCCACTGCCTCCATCGCAGCAAACTTTGCATGTTGAATTTGACATAAATTAAACGCAGCGAACTTCTGTTTATGTCACTGAAGCCTTAAAGGCACCAACAAAAATGTAAACAAACAAAAGGGAATGTCAAAAAAAGCAGTCACTGACAACGCCGTATTGTGTTTGGTGCGGCAGTGACTGCCAATATTAGCAGTAACAGCTGATTTTAGCACTATCACTGCCACTGCCACAGCGCTATTGTATTTTGGGCTTTTCTCCTCGACTAAGCTGGGAGTTTAATGTTGTGTATGGAGCTTTTCGGTATTTTATTACAAATAGAATAAACGTTTATTTTCCTCCTACTTGTTTTGACGCATATTCGCGTCTTCCTCAGGGAATCTATTTATAAATACGAGAAACATAAGGTCCATTCAATATCGAAAAATTGTTCCGAATTGTTACTAGTACTTGCAAGCTTTTACTGGAAATGCATTCAATAACCCAAAATAGGTTTGTATAGTAACAAATAGTCAGCAGTGTTGCCATTTTAGCTGAGCATATATATATACATATATATTGTATATTTTTTTTTTATTTTTATGACGAAGGGGAACTATTCCCAATTAAAAAAAAAATTGCGCGCCAAAACTTAACCGTCAGAAACTGTCAAAATGGCTTAAATTGCAAATTTTTACTAGTTTTGCGTTCAATAACTTTTTCTGAAAATTGTCTCTTGCTCTCAATTTTACTCTCTATTTTTCTTTTACGCTCTCGCTGCAAGTACTTACTGGAAAAGTTATTTAATGGACCTATATATGCACATTAGGGCGGTCCAAAAGTGCATGTGAAAAAGTAAAGTCGGGATTTTTATGCTCTAACCCCCTAGGATTGTTCTATACCGAAAAAAACCACTATTTTTTTATTTTGAAATCAAAAAATATTTAGAGGTCGCTCAAAGCGCCCAAAGTTTTTCATGTATTTTATATATATGGGGAAAAAAACTTTTGGTAGAAATGGTATAGAATTCAAAAAAACTAATATTTTTCTATCGGAAAACTCTTTTCATCTGCAGGATTCCCAATAATAATACCCAATTGTTTATTTAACCATTTTTTCATCGCAACTATAATTTGTAGGTCCGCCAAAAACCCACAAAACCCCCGAAAAATGCAATGGGGGGACAAATAAAAAATCGCTAGTATTAAAAAATTGTTAAATAAATAATTGGGTATTATTATTTAAGTCTCCTGAAGAGAACCAGAGTTTTCCGATCGAAAAATATTGATTTTCAAGAATTCTATACCATTTCTACGAAAAGTTATTTTTTTCCCATACAAAAATACATGGAAAACTTTGAGCGCTTTGAGCGACCTCTAAATATTTTTTGATTTTATAATAAAAAAATAGGGGTACACTTTTTCTATATAGAACAATCCTAGGGGATGAGAGCGTTACAATTCCGACTTTACTGTTTTTGGACCACCCTAATGTACATGCAGTGATATCTAGAGCGCCTCATTTCAAAGTGATATTGTTTTCCACTTATGTTTATTTATTTATTTTTAAGAATTTTCATTAAAATAAAGTCCATTCTCTGAAGAAGTCCATATAAACCCAAATCTAAAACTTTGTAGAAAACTAAAAAAAATCTAAAAATGTTAATCCAAAAGTCAAAATTATTTTCTCAGAATTTTTTGAGTATATAGATTTAAAGCCCTTTCAATTTTATTGTAATAATGTGCAAGTTTCAAGCGGCTAAAAATTTCCGTTGTTGCGGTCTTCCTCCATATAAAAATAAATTTTGTTTATTCGTTATATAGTAGCAAATGCGAAAAAAAAATCAAAGGTTTTATGGCTCTTGAAACTTGCACATTATCACACTAAAATTGTATCG